CCCCCCCCGCCCCAGTAGCTCTGAAGTAGGTGACCCTACTCTGAGATATCCTATTGCCTCCCCAAGTACAACCCCACCCTTCTGGCAAAGCTACCACAGCGACCCACAGAAAGCTGTCTGAGCAGAGAATGACTACGGGCTCTGTAAACCTAGCATATGACCTGGGTCAGGCCTCAGGCCACTCAAGATCCCCAGGCACAGAGGCTTTGACACTCTGGAGGAATCCTGGAGATTCTGGGCCAGGCAAAGAAGAAAGCCATTTCCTATGTATGGGGATTTGCAAAATCCCAACAGAATCAGATAGTGGGGCAAGGGGAGTCCTTAGTGAGTGACACAGGTGCTGGTGTCATTCCCAGCCCTGCCACAGTGCCCTCATCAAGGCTGTAGTTCCCTCATCTTGACAAGGCTCGGGGCTCCACTGAATCTCTCAGGTCTATCATGCTATGGCTGGTGATCCGTGACAGCAGCTGGGTGCTCTGGTAAACCTCCATGAGGAGGAGGACAAGAAGGGGTGGGGTGGGGAGGACAAGGGGTCTTACCTGGGAGTTCAGCCAGGGCAGGGGCAGCATAGGGGCTCCGTAGGACTCTATCCTAGGAGGTGGCAGCAGGGATCTGAGGGCCCCTCCTTGCCATTCACAGTTGTCTCTTGCTTCAGCTTGGCACTGGTCTTATACATTCTAGCTGCCCTGAAACCTTATCCTAGAGAAGCTAGTTGACAGCCAATCACTTGATGAGAGGCTGGCTGGTGAGGGGCAGGGAGGTGACGGGGGAGGTCAGTGAGTTCCAGATTTGGTTCAGTTCTCCTGCCTATGGGCACTTTAATAGAGATCCTTCAAGCTGTGAAAGCTTCCCCGGGTGGTGACAGGGGTATATGGGGGTGGTGGGACCTGTCACTTTACACAGTTCATAGGTCAAGGCCTTCCATGACTGGTTGGGCAACTCAGGCCTGTTATTAATAATAATGATGACAATTGCCATTTCTTGGCACTTCATATGTGCTAAATATTTTACTAATATTAAAAAAAGATAATATATATATATATATATATATAGTTTCTGTTTCATAGCCCATGAATAGGTGCTGTTAGGATTCTAATTTTTTTTAAATTACAGATTAAGATATAATTCACATACCATACAATTCACCTATTTATCTATTTATTTATTTATTTTTTTGCAGTTTTTGGCCAGGGCCAGGTTTGAACCCACCACCTCTGGTATATGGGGCCAGCGCCCTACTCCTTTGAGCCACAGGTGCTACTCCAATTCACCTATTTAAAAGGTACCAATTCAAGTGGTTTTTAGGCCAAGTGTGGTGGCTCACACCTGTAATCCTAGCACTCTGGGAGGCTGAGGCAGGTGGATTGCTTGAACTCATGAGTTCAAGACCAGCCCAACCAAGAATGAGATCCTGTCTCTAAAAATAGACTGGTGTTGTGGCAGGTGCCTGTAGTCCCAGCTACTTGCGAGGGTGAGGCAAGAGAATTGCTTGAGCCCAGGAGTTTGAGGTTGCTGTGAGCTGTGATGCCACAACACTCTACCAAGGGTGACAAAGTGTCAAAAAAAAAAGTCAAGTGGTTTTTAGTATATTCAGAATTGTGCAACCATCACTAATCTATTTCACATTTTCATCAATCCTTGTCCCCCAAACTCCATACATATTACTATCCGCCCTGACTCAGGCAACCAGTAATCTATCTTCAGCCTCTCTGGATTGGCCTATTCTGGACATTTCATATAAATAGAATCATACAGTATATGCCCTTTTTTTTTGAGATAAGTGTCTTACTTTGTCACCCTTGGTAGAGTCCCATGGCATCATACCTCACAGCAACCTCAAACTCTTGGGCTCAAACAATCCTCTTGCCTTAGCCTCCTGAGTAGCTGGGACTATAGGTACCTGCCACAATGCCCAGCTAGTTTTTCTTTTTTTCCTTTTTTTTTTTTTTTTAATTGAGACAGTCTCACTTTTGTCGGCCTCTGTAGAGTACTGTGATGTCATAGCTCACAGCAACGTCAAACTCTTGGGCTCAAGTGATTGTTTTGTCTCAGCCTCTCTAGTAGCTGGGACTATAGGCACCCACCACAATGCCCGGCTACTTTTCTGTTTGTTTAGCAGGCCCAGGTGGGGTTTGAACCCACCAGCCCTGGTGCATGTGGCCAACGCCCCAACCATTGAGCTATGGACACCAAAGCTAGTTTTTTTTTGAGATGTGGTCTCGCTCTTGCTCAGGCTGGTCTCCAACTCCTGAGCTCAGTCAATCCATCTCCCTCGGCCTCCCAGAGTGCTGGGATTATAGGCTTGAGCCACTGTGCCCAGCCTAGTACGTGCTCTTTTGTAACTGGCTTCTTTTACTGGCATAACAGTGCTTTCAGAGTACATCCATGTTGTGGTGGGTGGCTGTACTTCATTCCCTTTTATTGCTGAGGACCCTAAAATTTTACTGCTTATTTTTACAGAGGAGAAAACCAAGTCTCAGGGAGGCAATGGCTTAACTGGGTCATATGGCTGGTATGTGGCAGGGCCTGACCTCCGGCTTCTAAACTGTATCACAGGTTAGGTCTGTCTGCTGTGATTACTTTTCCCTCTGACATGATACTCAGAGGCTTCAGCATGAACACTGCTGGGGGAGGGTGGCGAGGATCTCCTGCAGTAGCAACTGTAGGCTCTATCTATAGGCACTGAGAGAAAGGGCTGGGCATGGCCTTGGGACCTAAGTGGAGGGGACAGAAGAGAGGGGAGGAGGAAGGGAGGAGAGAGGAGGGAATGAAGGGAGGTATGCAAAGCGAGTTAACAGGGTAGGGTAGAGGAGGAGTAGGCAGAAGCCATTTCTGGACTTGGGCACACAGCCACAGATGGTCACAGGGCAGGTGGTCTGAGCAGAGGCTCAAGTGTAAAGTTTTGGTTGTACCTGTCCCCTTTCTTGGACCAGGCCCAGTTCTTACGGTCAGCAGAATAGGCAGTTATGTTAGAAGGGAGTGGCTGCTGGGGTTGCTGAGATAAGGAAGGCTCAGGAAGTAGGTTCCAGCTCCACCTGGCAATACTAGACTGGAGGTGGTGGGGTGAATTGCAGGGGGCCTATGGAAAGGGATTAAGAGTAGGAACCCAAATAAGAGGGCAGCAGGTTCTGAAGAAACCCATTGGGAGGGAGAGGTGAGCTTACTTTGGCTTAAGTATTCAATCTTTTTTCCCCTCTGCCGCACATTGGAAGAATAAGTTGTCTTGGATCACATGTTAAATACAAAAACACTAATGAAAGCTACTTTTCATGACCGCCAACACCACAGATAAACAAAGTCCTCACAAAATTGGCATATGTACTCAGCACCCATATCTCAGTGGTTAGGGTGCCGGCCACATACACCAGGGCTGGTGGGTTTGAACCTGGCCTGGGCCTGCCAAATAACAATGACAACAATAACAACAACAACAAAAATAGCTGGGCATTGTGGTAGGCACCTGTAGTCCCAGCTACTTAGGAGGCTGAGGCAAAAGAATTGCTTAAGCCCAAAAGTTTAAGGTTGCTGTGAGCTATAATGCCATAGCACTCTACTGAGGGTGACATAGTGAGACTCCTTCTCAAAAAAAAAAAAAGAAAGAAAAGAGAGAAAATCAGCATGCAGCCTGTGGGGAGCCACAGAGGTTGGACACCCTGCCTAGAGGCTTCTTGAGGGCAGGGCCAGGTCTGTCTGCTTTGGTTCCCAGTCTTGAGTCCAGCCCACCTAGAAGTTCAAAGGTTGGCTGCTGTGGGCTGGGATGCAACCAGCCTCTGGTGGTCAGAAACATCTACATTCAGATGGAGGTAGTGCTCAAAGGGAAGTGGGGGAGACACTGGCTAATTCTGGTGGTGGGAACAAACATCTACCTCATCTCCATCTTGTATACCTCAGCAAGCCGTCCACCTCAGAGCTGGCACTGGGAAATACATCCAACTTCTAGGGACAAGATTATGGTAAGTAACATGCTCTCTGGAAGTAGGGGTAGTGGATGTCAGATCCTCAGAGTCCCTCTGTCACGAGGCCTCTCTGAGCAGGGTAGAACAAGCCCATGTCCTCCTGCAGGATATCCTAACTTGACTCTGATCAGCTTATTTACAGGAACAGGAGGAAGATTTGAAAGGAACATTCTTCACCCCAGGCTTTACCCCCCCGACCTGGACCTGACTGTCCCTCTGTCAGTTCCGTGCCCCAAGGGAGGTGGATCGCTGGGCTTTGAAACCTGTGCACTGGTGACCTGAGAGGGAAACTTGGCAGGGAGGACAGGCTCTGTGGTGTTGGGGAGGGGTGGACCACAGGCTGAAGCTTAGTGGGCAAGATAAACAGAAGGGGGAAAGGCTCGTCTGACGGCAATGAGGAGGGCAGCTGCTCCCTCCTAGGGTTCCTTCATCACTCTGTACCCTCTGAGGCCCAGTGTACTCTGCCTGTCCCAGTTATTGGTGCACAGGCCCTGTGGGGGATTCTGAGGGGCTTATTCCAGGAGATTCCTCCACTTTGCTGGGTATCACTGTAACCTACACTAACCTGATCACTAACCCCACACTTTAGAGTGTGGGTGGGGCTGACATTTCCTAAACTCCCACTGCGTGCCAAGTGTAAGCGAAGCACTTTCACAAATGTCATCTCATTTGATCTTCATCACAACACTATGAAGCTGGGATTATTATCTGTATTACGGGTGAGGCCAGGGCTCAGACAGAGCCAGGCCAGTCTCTTCTCTATCTTCTGTTGCACATGGCTCAGAGTACCCTCCTGACTCTGCAACTGCCCACGGTCTGGCCAACTCCTTGGGGTCACACTGTCTCTTCTAGGAAGCCTGCCCTGACTGCGCTATCCCACATGGGCTTTCCCCACTTACATGGCACTTCCTGATGGTACCTTGTTTTGATCACTGAGTGCTCAAAACATGTCTGGGGATGTCTCGTGTGGTAATTCACTTCATAACCACATAACCCCCCAGAGGTAAAACACTAAACTTCGGGAGCTGTTTTGAGGACTCAAGTGACATGTGCTTGTGGGTGAACAGCAGGGCCCTCCACATTAGTTCCCTTCTACCCCATATCACCCAGTAACACTGCATACTCTATACATTTGTAGATGCCCCTTTCTCATTCCCTCACAAGGCCTTGTCTGTGGCAGCTGCTGTAGTGCTTGTGGTCTGACAGTCTAAGCTGGAGTATCCATCCCAGAGATAAGGGGGATTCTGAGGGGCTTATTCCAGGAGATTCCTCCACTTTGCTGGGTATCACTGTAACTTGGACTAACCTGATCTTTGGAGGAGCTCAAGTCTCATGGTGACCCTGGTTCGCTGTTCCAGACAAGCTTCTCTAGGAGACTGTATGGTTGTCAAGCTTTCTTACTGGCAGTTAAAAGCACAAGTGAATTCCTAGCACCCCTGTTTCAGTGGCCAATCCAGGAAACACTGTGCACAGAATGCAAATAGCAATATGGCTTTATTCAAACATGGGCAGGAAATGACCTTTAGAACTGGGTAAAAACAATAAGTTAAAAGCATGGTTTAGAATTACAATCAGGGTAAAAGTTGGAAGGAGGCGATTTCTTCATTCCTTCCTATTAATTTGATACAGCATAATAATTTATATCTATAAAATATCCTATTTCCATGACAA